GTACAAACGAAAAAATATAACAACAATGCCATTGTTAATATGTTGGAGTAGTTTTGGGCTACTCTGATGTAATGCAGGGATGGAGTATATGGTCCTGCCCTAGGACATCGCAATGTTAATTGGACCATATTTTTTATATGAATTGTGGTTAATTTTGGAGTACTCCTTGGTCCTTAGGGAGTACTCTTTACACGCATGCATGGAGTAGTCGCGATCTTTGCAGGGTTGTCAATAAATATTGAACGTGTAGCACTTTCAAAACGCGATCCATACATTTCGTCAGTATATCTTGTACTCTCATAATGCGAACATCGAAAACGTATTCGCTATTCCTTCGTTTTCGTTGCTTAAAACCTTACAAAACAAGTTGAAAAAATTGTAATTAACATTGGAAATTTTAAAATAATTGTGGAATGCATTAAGTTGAAATCCGGCTGCTGGCCTATGTAAACTCGTTGTTACCATAAATCGTACGTGATTTAAAACAAACAAACCCTGCTTGACCATTTAGCAATCACGACGCTTGCAACCCTGCTTGGTAAAACGTCAAGCTTGGATTTTGTACGCCATTTGTTAAAAATTTCTACACCAGGGAAAATACTGCCTGACGCAGAAATTAGTAAATTTAATTAGAAAATCAGCTTAGGCTGCACTGAACTGGCAAAGGTTGCGATTATTTTGCTAATTTAACTGTATGGACTTTTAAGGTAGGTTTTTTTTTTACTTCGGAAAACTAACCAAATTTTTAACCTCATTTTTTACCCAGGTTTGTATTGGTAGACGCTCCGTTGGACCAGGTAAAAGGTAATAGACAAAATGACTCAATATCTACCGCCGAATTTGTTGGCGCTATTTGCCGCCCGTGATCCAATACCTTTTATGCCACCAGTGGATAAGTTGCCACATGAAAAGAAATCTCGTGGTTATCTTGGTATTGGTGGTTTCCTTGGTGAGTTTGAAGACCCAAAAGACACGCCGCCTGCAAAGCGCGTTGAGACTCGTCAAGAACGTTTGGAACGTCGGCGTAGGGAGAAGGCAGAACAAGTTGCTTATAAATTGGAACGAGAAATAGCACTGTGGGATCCGCAAGAAATCAAAAACGCAACAGAAGATCCATTTCGCACATTGTTTGTGGCACGTATTAATTATGACACATCTGAATCAAAATTGAGACGTGAGTTTGAAATTTATGGACCTATCAAAAAAATAGTTATGATAACGGATCAAGAATCGAGTAAGCCCAAAGGTTATGCATTCATCGAATATGAACATGAACGAGATATGCATGCCGCCTACAAACATGCAGATGGTAAGAAAATCGATAGTAAGCGTGTATTGGTTGACGTAGAACGCGCACGTACGGTAAAAGGATGGTTACCACGCCGTTTGGGTGGTGGCTTGGGAGGAACACGTAGAGGTGGTAATGATGTCAACATCAAGCACTCTGGTAGAGAGGACAATGAAAGGGAACGTGAACGCTACCGTCTCGAGCGGGAGCGCGAAGATCGCGAAACCGTAAGAGTTGTAGAACGTAATCGTTTCGGCAGTGTTGACCCTGTGCGGCGTCGTTCGCGTTCTCGAGAACGCTTACGTGAACGTGAAAGGGAGCGCTCAAGACGTTCGCGCAGCAAATCACGTGAGCGGAGGAGAAGGCGAGGTGGTAGTCGTGAACGCGAATATGACGATGTCGAAAAACGTGACAGACGCGAGAAAGATCGTGAGCGCGATCGTGAACGTGAACGCGAAAGAGATAAGAAGAAGAGACGCTCCAAATCCAGGGAGCGTGATTCATCCAGAGAGAGACGTGATAAGAAACGTGAGCGCGATCGCCGTGACAAGGACCGCGATCGTGGAGATCGTGACATTAAGGAACGTAAGCCGGACTTCCGTGACATCGATATTAAGATCAAGGAAGAACCAATAGATGATGGTTATCCAACTTATCCTATGAATTCCTATCAAACGTCTGGTATAAAGCGAGAAGACGACGAAGAGCAGGAAGAAAAATTCCGGCCACCGCAAGATATGTTCAGCGTTCCACCACCCCCAATACCTGGACGTGGTCTTGGTGAGAATGGACAGAACCCCAATGATGGTCAGCAATCATGGTGGCGTTGAGGTTTATTTGTATATTACAAAATGGATAGTAACAGTTATTTTCCACTTTCCATATTTTACCACAATTTTCAATTTAGCGTTTGAACTAATGCAAATTCGAGATTTACATGATAGGTACAAAATTTTATTATGATCTTAAAAATATTGACAGACGTAATCAATTGCCCATTGATTTGTTGGCTATAGTAAATCGTTTCTTCAAATTTTATTAATCATAGTGCAAACGCTAAAGTTTTAATAGTTTTAAATTATTAGGGCAAACAATATTTGAAATTCCAATACATACATACCTACCAACACATTTTCGTCTTGCTTCCGCGGCGGGCTAGAATCCACAAACAGAAAACTTTCGAAAAAAATATACATAGTATGTATGAAAAGCCAATTATGTCGAGACTATCAGATCATTTTCTTTTGGACTCAAGGCGAATTTATATATGAATTCTCCTTGGTTTGGACTGTGGAAATTTTAGTCTCCATAGAATTATTAATAGATACATTTTTAAATTTACAAACTCGATTTTTCTTGCTTTTCGGTTGTTTTTATTAGTAACAAGTGGCTACGTTTTTAAAAACTGAATTAGTAAATTTAACTTTTGTTTGTAAATTTAATCGAAAATTGGACGCTGATATATGTATATTTGAATTAAAATTTTGTTTGCTGCACTTAATATAATTAAACATATATAAATTAATATGTAATTTAAACATATAAAACGTAATAATCGCAACCGTAATGTAAGGAAGAAGATCCAAAATGCAAAGAGTAAGTAAAAAAAAAGAATTGGAGACTATTGTTTTTACTTGCGGCAACCTGCACCCAAATGTTTTGGAGTTCTACACTTGAGAGAAACCACACTAAACCCAAAGCAGCCTGCAAAACAGAACCAGAGTTTCCGGCAGAAAGTTGGAGAAGCAAGTAAAAATGCCTTGCCTGTGTTTGGAGTCAGTGAGTAAATTGTGTAGAAGGTAGTAAGCCAGTCCTATGGTGGTGCATGGGACGGTAATTCAAACAAATTTTGAATGGTTATCGTAAGGCTCAGTTCTATGGTTTTTATACATACCCACTTCCCACACTCTATACAACTTATATGCAAATTTTAATGGCATTGAAAGTAACTCGTCAATTTTAATTATCTTTTCTCTTTTTCCAGTTTGAGTAATCAATATTCAAAACTAAGAAATTTTAACTAATGCTTTGCGCATTACGGGGAAGGTATGCATTTCAAAACAGACAAAATGTGAACGGGTAAAAGATTTAGATCGAAGGGTAATTACTCCTGAATTAAATATGCTTAAAATCTACACACATTTCAATTACATGTTTTACAAAAATATGTAAATGTCGAAAAAACATTGTAACGGTAAAGGTAATGTTTAAGTATGCAAGAATACTAATGATTTTCCCATTCTAGGGGATCGAACGTACACCTTGCCCACTGACTCCCCAAGTTTGCGTATCGGAAGCGGTTAGCACAATTAGTGATCATATGTAGGTATGCTCGAATGTAAGTTGAACTAATGCAAAATTGCAATAGCTGTCTCAGTAAGTGGTTGTGTCGAGTTTCTGTGTGAATATATTTTGTGGGTTAAAAGGGTGCGATTTTTAAGCTATGTAGTGACCAACAAAGTGTAAAGTTGTTTGGCATATTAAAAGTTGAAAGAAAGATTTTATGAATTGCAGATTTTTCAAATCCATATCTAGGGATTATTTTAATAAAAATATTGTATACCGTTCATATTGAAATCTGTAATTGTAAATGCAAATGTGCTGCGATAGCTTTTTATTACCAGCATACTGTAGTTGGGCGTTATCGATCGATTTTATCAAATGTGTAATAGTAAGAAATAATGGATCTCAATGAATGTTTTAGAATGATTTAAAAAACAAAAACATTTGATTTCTAATCTATAATGATGTTCTTGATCTTCATAATTACGCTAAGTCTTATCTAAAAACCTTCGTCACTTTAGATAGCTTGTTGCTATATTCTACATGAATTAACTTGTTGGTCACTATAGGCAAGAAGCGTGTGGTAAGGCGATTAAAGTATAAAAGGGTTTTCAAAAGTAGCGCGTCGGTAAGCGCGTATCATCATTAGTCGGCGGATTTGCTCATGGATTTGGTAACCAATTATGATTTAGTCAGCATAGTTGGTTGACAGACTAAACCAAAACGTTTTTGAATGTGTAGCTAATGGTATAATATGGTGTGGTGTGGATTCCCTGCCGTTGTTTCATTTGTAAGTGGTTGGTAATATTCTCCAGATTAGCCATGAACGGCTACTCTTGAAGCTCGTCAAGCATATCACTGGTAAATTTAAATGCACTTAGCATGTACCATATACACTTTTACTTACATTTTCATAATTGTGATTAAGTTACAGCGACTAATTGCCGACCAGCTAAGTGCCTATAATATTGGCTTCATATATCGACTAAAAATAAATAGTTCAAAAAAAGTCGAGTTTATTCTAAAACTTCTTCAGTTTATGTATAGCTCGAAAAAAGTGCAAAGCAAACTGAATATGATAACCAAACGATGACTGGGTTTTTTTCAGTAAGTTCCTAATCTTTTAGTATTGGATATTGAGTGGAATCATTGTGCATTGTTTTAAAGCTTCTCTTGAAAAATATAGTTTTTCGAACGTAAAAATGTCTGTTTAATTTATAACTATTGGCTGTGGTTAAGTATATTTTCTATTTACTAATTCTATTGGTAAGAACTTCGCTCTATGTCGCAATCGCACAAAAAAAGATCTTTTGACAATAACAAATCTGCCGCCCCTGCAACGTAGATCCCACCATCGAGTGAATGCTCTTTGATATTTTTTATATTTTTTTTTCATAATTAATTTGGCGGGGTTCCGCCACACGTGACGCCTACATAAGAGAAATGGTGGTGGAAATTTCTTTGTAATACCATTATGTTGTTATGTACACAACAAATCACAAAAGTTTGAATACAGAGAATTTTTCTCAATGTATGCAAAAAAATTGTTTCCCTGCTAACTTTATTAAAATATAGTTCACACTACAAAAAAAAAAACATAAAATCTACGTTGTTTGCAAGACTCAGGAAAATTCTATAGATTTCCATACTAATTTGCAACTTTCTAGTTAAATTCTTTAGAAAAATTCTAAATGCTGTTTTACAGCTCCTTCAATTTTAGTATAACAAAGGGCAACTTTGAAGTTGCTCAAAATCGCGCTAATTTTAGGCAATTTTTTTCTTTCATAGAAAGTATGTTCGACAATTTCTTTTTTTGTTATGGAAGAAAATATTAACACCATCTGCTAAGGAATTTGAAAGGAACTTCAAAATATAACCAAGGAATAAGGCAAGCTGGAACGATACTAGTGATAAGAAATACATACCTATAAACATAAGATCAAGTCTTCAGCGAAAATATCGTTACCTTAATTCACAAAGGCCCTAAAAAACATTTTATTTTTTTAATTTACAGAAGGAAAACCGGCAGGACTTTTTAAAAAGTGGCATGTAGTAATTGCGTTTTTTTTTGTACTAGCGCTTTAAATTTGTATTGAAGGTGTATTTTAATACATCTTACTAAAGCTGTGAAAAGTTTTAAAAAAAAGTGTTGGTTAGGGTCTTAGGAATTAAGCTAGCGATATACTCCCATAGTAAAAATGAATAGATATCGTCACCCGTATGCCAGAAGCCTGAATTCGTAAAAATGAGAATTTTGGAAAATCAAGCTTGAAAGCTTTTTTCACGAGACCTCTATATTTATGTAATTCAAATTGTAAAATAAGTGGTTTCCGTGTATGCATGGTATTCTGGGTTTTGGTATAACATAGAACATCTAAAGATTAATCAAATCAACACATTAACTCAAAACTGATAAACTTTCACATTCATGCTTCTGGCATAAGGGTGACGAAATTTTTTTTCTAGTGGGCTACTGGTAATCGATACATCTATGAAATTTTTACACAAGATTGGCCAGGTAGCGTACTTAACTCGACATTTATATTTTTTTGATTATGACACTATTGAAGTAAACGAGCGATATGTACAGAGATACTTTGCCGACCTAAACGGGGTTAGATCGCCGAAACTACAGCCCTTGGTCGTGTAAAACTCGAGTCATTCCGGTACGTAGAACCGTCTGTCGTGGGAATGTACACAATAGCCCAACTTCGCTCTGGCTATTGCAGCAGGTTAAACTCATACCTGAGCAGCCCAAACGCGGATGTGCCGAATGAGTGTCCGGCATGCGAAGAGACACCTGATGACTTGAAGCATCTCTTCGTATGCCCGGAAAACCCGACAACCCTAAGGCCTTTGTCCCTGTGGACCGACCCCATAGAGGCTGCACGCTTCTTAGGGCTGCCGTTAGTGGAACTTGACAACAACTGAGATATTAACCGATCTGGGCGGGGTTGTTGTAGCCGCTACAACAACAACAACAACGATATGTTAAATGACTTGTTCCAACAGTTATTTCCTTTGTGTGTATATATGGATTCACTCGCATGAAATTAAATGCTTTGCTATACATTCTAAATACATATTTGGGTGAAATGGAATAAAATGTACATCTTTGTTATAAAATATAGCAAAAATTGCGCTTTATTCTCTTTTAAATACTATGTTGTTTAACAAATAGGTACCATTGTTCAACCACGAACAACAACTCTTCAACAATCAAAGGCTGAAAAACAATAAAAATCCGTGTTTTCTCTTCAAATAATCCTCACAGACCTTGCATATAAAGAATTTCAGTTAACACGTCAATATGTTAGTGCTTGGGTATATTTTTAATATGTTTTAACAGCTTTAAGCCTTTGCTAGCCATTCCTTAGGGTTTTGGAGCACTTCCAATAGCTTGCCCTCTCTTGAGTTAGGCTGCACCGTGTGCATGTATTCCCAGCGCGCCGTCAATGGCAATGACATTAAAATGCTCTCATATCTCGCGCCGGGTGTATACAGTCCAAATTTAGTACCCCTGTCGTAGATAAGATTAAATTCCACATATCGGCCACGTCGCAGAAGCTGCCATTGACGTTCACGCTCGCCGTAATCGTCGTTTTTGTGTTGGCGTATAAGTGGCAAGTAAGAAGGAATTACAGAACTCGCACAGCTTGTGACAAACTTAAATGCCTCCTTCTGACTTGGTGTGTCTATATCATCAAAAAATATACCGCCGATGCCACGACTTTCTTTTCTATGTGTAATACGGAAGTAATCGTCACACCACTTCTTAAAACGTGGGTAATAACTGGTGTCGTGTTCATCGCAGGCATCCTTTAGCGTCTTATGAAAATGTACTGCATCTTCCTCATTTAAGTAATATGGCGTAAGATCGGTGCCTCCTCCAAACCACCATTGCTTTTGTCCATCACTTTCCACTTCGAAGTAGCGATAATTAAAATGTATAGTCGGAACATAAGGATTTCGCGGATGTATAACCGCACTTACACCAGCTGCAAAGAAAGGCAACTTCTTTCCCTCTTCCAATTTCTTACCGCGGGTTCTCATCTGCTGCACCGCACCTGGCGGCAACATGCCAGTCACTACAGATATGTTTACGCCTGCTTTCTCGAATACTTCACCATCTTGCAGAACGCAAGTAATGCCACCACCACCCTCGGCTCGTAACCAGCGGTCAACTATGAATTTTTGTCCCGCATACTCTTCGGCCTCTAGTGCACGGCAAAAATCTGCTTGTATTTTCATGATCATTAGTTCCATTTTAGTACGCATATCATCCTCATTGTCCATTAGCGTGCTTATATCTGTTATCGGTTCAGCCATATAGACGGAAGTGTTAAGCTTGCGTTTTCTAGCTGCTTCCATTTGAACAAAGGATACGGAAGCAGCGGTAGCGAAACCGACACCGAAAATTAAATATGGCACCTTACGAGCGCCATTACGTCTTGCCAGCTGATAGGCGGCTAAAGATGCTAAAGTTTGGCGTATACTTCTGGTGAAAGACATTGCACTAACTGGCAATAATCGCAACACAAATAATGTTTATCTTCATAAATGAAAGTTGCTATTAACGTATGATGGACGACGTGACTGCGACAAGGTAAATTGCTATGCTGTGTTGTAGCGGGACATTGATCACCTGCTGATCAGGGCTGCCAGATTGGCTTAAACCGTGCCATTTTTGGGCCTATTTTACTTGAAATGGCACTTAATCTTTCTATTTGGCACAAAGTGCCAAAATGTCACTTTTGAAATATAGTAATATTATAATACATTTTATTGAAATCCTTTGCGTGTTCTACTTTTTCTCAACTAAATTTTTCTAATTTTAATGCTTAATGAGAAGAACTAAAAATAATCCACCTTTTTGGGCGTTTATTTTTCTATTTGGCACATTTTGGCACTTTTTTATCCTTAATATGGCACTTCATAGCTAAGTAGAGTTGGCAGCCCTGCTGCTGATTTTGGCCTGTTATATTGTTACGATTATCCTTGAACCCTCGTCCGGATTACCCAAATATGCTCGGGCTCGTATCGCTGGATTGTTAAATAAATGCTAACGTTGACCAAATTGTAGTACAATTAACTTTATTGTACAACAAACAATTTACAATACTTGCTAATACAGTAAAAAACACTTTACAATACTTGTTAAAGCAATAACAACGCTTTACTACTTGTTAACACAATTAAACTTATAGCTTGCTTATTCGCCACTCAATTCTCCGCTCACTTTACTTGTAGCTTGCTGACTTGTAACTAACTCACCTCGTGGTGGCGGCGCCCTTATATACCTGCGCTGGCACTTATGGCAACTCTAGAACATTCTGAAGTTTATCGCTCATTCTCTTTCGCTCGCTGTTCGCAGTGTTCATCCAACTTGACGTTTCTCTTTGTGGAACATTCTACGTCATTCTTCGAACATTCTGCCTATTTCTCGTTGTTCGCTTTGTGTTGCCGCAGTATTCGCCACACTGCCCTCCACCTAAGTCTGATCGTCCCGATCAGACACACTTGCGGTTCCAAACGCTGCAAGCCTTTCCAAGTGGACCACCTTCATCTTGTTTCTTGGTCTCCCGACGGTCTGGATCCGATACACTACGTCATTTAGCCGTTTTACGACCTTATACGGACCTTCCCAGTTGCATTGTAGTTTTGGGGACAAACCTTTCTTTCGTTGTGGATTGTACAGCAACACCAAATCTCCTTCCTGGAAACCCTCGGAATTCATCGCCTTATCATACCTGGCTTTCATCTTGTCACTCATAATTTGTGTGCGCTGTCTCACAAGAGCATGTATCTCTCTCAGCTCCTCTTCCAGGATGTTTGACGTCTCTTTTCCAATCCTTCTAGCATCACCAGTCACCCCAAACTTCAGATCACTAGGCAAACGGAGCTCACTGCCGAATATTACCCTTGCAGGAGTTTTACCCGTTGTTTCATGCACTGCTGACCGGTACCCCATCAGGAACAAGGGTATGCGGACATCCCAATCTTTTTGATTCTTGTCCACGACCTTCCGCAAATGCTCTTCCAGGGTTCGGTTGAACCGTTCCACCATGCCGTCTGATTGGGGATGAAGAGCCGTCGTTCGAGTTTTCCGGATACCCAGTATCTGGCACATCTCTTGGAACACTGCCGACTCAAAATTTCTTCCCTGGTCAGAGTGCAGCTCTATAGGTACACCGTATCTCGCA